AACAATAGGCTGGGGTCATTTATACAGAGGCCCTGTTAAGGGGTACTCATGTCAAACAATAGGCTGGGGTCATTTATACAGAGGCCCTGTTAAGGAGTACTCATGTCAAACAATAGGTCGAGGTCATTTATACAGAGGCCCTACTAGGGTAGCCATGTCCTCCGCCTGAATTTCACAACTGCTTATGTCACAATTTTCGGAATGTTTTTTGTTTTGCTTGTTGGAATTTACCCCTAACAGGCCTTATCACATTTAATATTAGCTTCTCCAATTCAAGGAGAACAAAATATTCCCTATGCAATGGATAGTGATCACATGGCACCATGTATATTCCAGTAAGAATAAAAATATTTGTTTAAACCTGCGGAACCTGGTCCTGAAATGGTTGAATTATGTGCATGAGTAGACTTTGTAATTTAAGTTGTTATCACTTTTTTTCTGCTTGGGTTCTGGACCAGATAAATATTCATTAACGATATTATTAATTTACTAGACAGAAATAAAAGAAATCACCATTCCATCAAGTCTTGATACATATATTCATTGGGATCATTCATTCTTTACCAGGGAGAGGGGCCAGTGGGATTTTGGGGGGGGGGGGGGGGGGGGCACAGGAAAAAATCCTACTTGTGCAGCAATTTTATAATAAACAGAATGGTAAAAAAGAGAAGAGCCATTTTATAACTGCAACAACAGAGAGGGTGGTCCAGGGGGGGGGGGTACTCCGCAAGAGTTTGGGTAAGGGTGTTCCGCTGGGATTCTGAAAGGGGTACACTGTTTATGACAAAAAAAACTCAAATTTGTAGACCCTGTTTATGACAAAAGATATAATTTATTGCACTGAGTTCCCGTTTCAATTATCATGTCACCTTGCATATCATTTTTTGCGACCAAAATAACCAGTTTCGGTCAATACGAAAGTAGAATCCCTGAATATGACAGGAAACTCAGGAAGAACTTGGAACTTGAGTGAAATAGCATGCCCTGTTTATGACAAGAAGCTTGAAAAACCATACCCTGTTCAGCGGATTATCCCCGTATAGTCCATATATGGGAGTACCCCCCCCCCCTCTCCGGGGTGGTCATGTTTCTTGGATGAGTTACAATGCTAATCACGCGCCACCCCTTCTCCCTGCCTGATTAAAATTGAAATGTCCTCCATACCTTGCTTGCAGAGGTCTTTTTCTGCCCTCCGTTCTACGGAGCTCTAGGGTTAGAAAAACAACCTCTGGTAGGTCCGGTCCTCCGTCCCTGTCCATCTAGAACTTGGGCAAACAATTTGAATTTGGCGCGAAAAATCCACTAACAAACCACTTCTGCAGCAAATAATGATATATGAATGTGCACTTATATCAAAGATTATTGCTTTAAAATTGAATTCGTACCTTCGAAGTCAGAAGAGACCATTTTCGAGGTTATAACAACAAGAAAAGACTTTGGGCGAAAAACAAATTTGCAAAAAATCAATATTGGAAGCGCGAAGCCTTATGGGAAGGAAGGCCATAACACAGGAATCCCGCAATAGCAAGAATGAAGTGGAATTCCAGGAAACAGTATCATTCTTTGCTTATTTCTTGGATTTAACTCGAATCTGAGTTAAAACCGACGGTAAACAAGGAGAACCGCTCTTTTTTAGAGGCTGTTTGACCATCAGCAATCATGAGATGTCACAAATGCAAGATAAATAAGCTAAGGAAGGAATTTCCTTCTGAGGGGCTGACAGACAACTGTGATCATGCTCCTTTACACTGCCTTAGAGTAAGTAAAATTGCTATAAATATTCCTATAAATCAGCTCGTTTAGAGTGTAAAGACGAGTAATATTAAGAAACTTTGTTTATTCCTAGAGAGAAATCTTATTAGGTTGAGAATAGTCAGCACGTAAGGCATGGAGAAATATTTTTGAAGCCCTGCAGTTATCCTGCTAGCAGTGTCCCTTGTTGACGATTCTTGAAAGATTCTTGGTATTTTGAGACTCTTCTAGCAAGGAAATCATGATTAAATGAAGTCATGAAAAATCTTGTAAATTAAACTTGCTTGTTTACACACAAGAGATAAATATTCCCAGAATAAGAATGATAATTCTGATTGATTGAACCAACAGGGCCCCAGGATGCATTTCAAAAAAGTATATTATTACGTTACATGAAGCTTTATTGCAAGTAATTCAACTCATGAAATTATACTAAGTTAATTCATGCAACTAAGATATAACTTCTTGAATGACAGGAAGCATTTGATGTATAAATCTGGTTTAAGGGACCATTCATTCATTTTCTGGAGGAGGGGGAAGGGATTATGTGACAAGGTGGAAACCATCAATTTTTGCCATTAATACATAAGGGAACCCTAAATTTAAGGGGAGCTTTGGGACCATTCAATAGTTTTGTCTAGTGGGGTGTGGAGCGGGAGTACAAGAATCAAAACCATCATGATTCAGTAGACTGTTGGCCATGGATGGTCGATATCCCATCCTTACTCCGCATTCATGCACCCAGTCTTCGAATCATGATTGTTCTGTTATACAGTATATCATGATATTTCATCATAATCATCATCATAACTTATCAGGCCAGGAGGTGTGCATAACTCCTTCGCACTATTCCTTCAGCACTGCATTCTGTGCCACCAACAATATAATGATGATTGATGTTTTCCTTTAACTATCCAGTGCACCACAGAACATGTACAGAATAATAGTTGCTGTTCAATTTGCTCTGAACCAGTTACTACTGACAACCAACGTTACCGTGAATGCATCAGTATATTAGACAAGCTATTCCCAGAGATTGAAATGCCCCAAGCAATCCCATCTGGTACCTTGGTTGCATCATCCACTACTGGCAGTGAGACAATCACAGTCTCAATGATGGGTGGAGAGGCCACAGAGATACCTTATCAGGGAAGCATGACTGTTTTGACGCTGAAGTACAAGATACAAGAGCATTTTGGGGTAGAACCACACAAACAGAGACTGCTATACAATGAGAAAGAACTGAAGGTAAGCAAGTAATTATATTCTGTTTTATATTTTTATTATGAGCTTCCTGTTGCTAGAGAAGAAGGAGGAAGAATGAGGAGAGTTCCTCCTCTTGGTAATTTTGTTGTTGGAAACAGGTCATCCTTGAGAGAGGGTCCTGAAGTGGGGAAGGGGGTGCTTATTCCATTTCTCAGCCCCCATTTTGACCAAATCCCATAGTTCCAGCCTATTTTGTGCTCAAATCACAATCCCATTTTTTGATTGTTCTTTTTATTCATTTATGAATCCCATTCCCAGTGCATAATATTCCATTTAAATGAGAGTATGGCTGCCATGTGATAAAGGTCCATAATAAATAGTGGGAGAAAGATGCTCAAATGCAAGAACCATTATTTACCAAATGCTTATGTTAAATGTGTGTGAGGAAAGGTAAAAGAGTAGCCTTTTGAGAGACATATGGTGCCTAGGGACTGGGAAGGCATCATTCTTATGGCCGATACCCTACAAAAAACCAGAGACTCTAAGAAAATCTTGGTTTCCTGTTTGCTAGATTTACCAGAATCTTTGACATTTTGTTGAGCATGCGTAGTACTAAGAATGAAGGTTTTGGGATCTAGAGTGCATTTTTCCAAACTGAAACCAAAATCCTGATTGGGTTCCCTGTGTAAAGTTTTGATATCACCACAGGTAGCCCAACACCCACTTTCAACTTCAAGCATTTTTGAAATATTTTCGCCATTGTTCTTTTACCTTACCAGGCATACATGAATGTTGGATCTAAACTTGTTACTCTCCAGTATTATGGAGTACAGCCCTTCACAACCATAAACCTTATCATTGTTTTGTATGACATCCCTGATACGTTTGATGAAGTCATCTTTGATCTGTTCTGGGGATATCCCACTTCAGGAAGGGATTATTTGGATGCATCAGTACTTCTGTACAATGGAACCTCCTTTATAGAAACAGTAGACTACCGTAGAATGCAAAGTAAGACATGCAATGCTGTCAAACACTCAGGGGATGTCATGGATGATACAAATCGCCTTGGACATCATACTCTTAACGTCAAACTTAAAAGTCTACGAGAAGACATAGACAAGTTATTCTTCACATTGAGTGCTTGGAATTGCCCAAATCTTTCAAAATATCCCAAGCCAAGCCTGCGTTTCTTTGACGCAAGGGCTCCAACAGATCAGCTGTGTAGTGACTCCATGCAACATGCTGCAAATTCTCAGGCTATAATTATGTGTAGTTTGTGTAGAATTGAAGGAGCTTGGAAAGTTTTGAGCTTGCGAACTGTTTCTAATGGGAATGCGAAGAATTATGATCCACTCAGAGGCACAATATTACACATGATTCAAAGTGGCACAACATAGAAACTCAATGAAATACTGGTTTAGAAAATTAGGTAGAGTGCAAACAATTAATCTGTGAAACACTTATTACTAATTAGTACAAAATAGTGCTAATTTAACAATAGAAAACAATGGAATTTGCATGAAATTGTGCTATTTAGTATTATTAAAGTTTCACGGTTATATTGTTTGCACTCCAGTTTAAAATTAATATTAGAGTGCTTGCACTAAACTCGTGAAACAAATACTAATTTTTAGTACTAAATAGTGATTATCAAACAATAGGAAACAAAGGATTCCGTATGAATTACTACTAATTAGTACTAATTATTATTCACGGCTGAGTGCGTGCACCCTAACACCAACATTACRATGTATTTTAAGATAGTGTGAACAATATAACCATGAAACTTTAGTAATACTAAATAGCACAATTTCATGCAAATTCCATTGTTTTCTATTGTTTAATTAGCACTATTTTGTACTATTTAGTAATTAGTGTTTCACAGATTAATTGTTTGCACTCTACATTCTGATGTTCAAATTGTGGGATTGGTAAATAATTTGGAGTCTGCTAAAGCAGATCATAAAAACTTGTAAAACAGGTTTGACATTTGTGATGTTCAGTGAATAAATCTCAGTTGGTACAATTTGTGAACATTTTGATGCTAAAATGAGACTAACCCTTAGTAAATGGTCTGACCATGCAACACAGCGGCATTGCATGATTTTGAAAATGGTCTATTCCGCAATTCGGTTTTTAGTTTTAAATATAGTCGAGTATAAATTTAAAGGTTGCAATTCTAAAGGTGGTGAGTACCAGGGAATGTGTAGTTTCAGAAATTATCCATACCCCTCCCCCACAGGAATTTTTTAACGACCCTCCTACCCAGGAAATTCCAATTTTGCTCTTTCTCTAACACTCCCTACCCCTCTGAAATTCCAAATTTTTCTTTGTAAGGGGGGATGGATAATTTCTGGAAATACACTAACAGGGTGCAATACTATAAAATAGCTATAATTATTGCACTCTTAAGTTTCATTTATTCATTCAACAAGAAGAGACAATTACAGGGATTTTCGTGCATTTTATTTGTACTGTGTGGTTGAGCAACGTTTCACAGATGCACGTTGTACCCATTTACAGTATTTGTAACCATTATTCGACAAGTCCTAATATGTCTACATTCTTAATTTTCAATTATAATTTTAGCATAATTATTATCTGAGTAGTGACCACGAGATGCATATTAGTGCCAAATCTAGAGAATACTGCAATGATCCTAATATAGGAGAGCTAGCCCTAGGTGTTAGAGTGTTTATCACAATCACTTCTTTACTGGATTTATGCATCAGTTATTCACCATTTTCCATACATCGGTTCACTGGTCAAACACAAAGAATTCAGTCGAGGTTGCAAGGTTCAAATTTGAATAATCCTTTGAAAGTACCTTGGCGCCTTGCTTGAGTGCTTTGTGTTTGACCAGTGAACCAATGTATGGAAAATGGTGAATACAGTAGGAGTCTCTATGGCATGAGACGGCATTCTTAGCAGCTTATACCCTTGGCTCCAGAGGTTCTAATTGGCTTCTCATAGGTTTAAAGTGACTTTCCATCAAAGCAGAAAAAGCCAGTCAGCAATGATAAATAACCGCTAGACCCCAGGGTAAGCAGCTGAATGTTATTGATTAGGAGCCTCACTGTAAGCCAATTGACTGTGCAATCTGTAACTATAGTTGTTAATAGCATTTATCATTAAAAAATGCATCAAAAATGATGTGTAAATTTTCCTTTGCAGGTCAAGAATTGGCAGGGATTAGACTTTGGGATATGGGTATACAGGTAATAGACCTACAGCTGTATATAATAGGTAATAGATCCTGCGCAGATGTTCTTAAGGTCGTCACATCATCACAGCAATTAATGTTTCTCCCTGTAGAGAGAGAAAAGTTGTGTGATGACCCTAAGAAGGAGGAAGGCTATGGCTACACTAAAACAATCATTAATAAGCTGCGAAGGATAGCAGTAATACAGTACTACTAGGAATGAGTCCAGACATTTTTAAGTATAACATCTGCAAGACATTTAACATTAAAGCAGAAGCAGTTACCTGAAAGGTTACAAAACCTATGCTGTTGACCTTACCAATAAAGATTTTTAGTATAAATACACAGGTGATTATTAAAAATCTCGGGAGCTGAATGGTCAAGAAACTCGGATTATCACACCATAATCACCGCCAGCGATAATCCAAAATGGTGGCCAGCTGCTTGGTTGCTGTTACCGGGAAAAAATATGTCTTTTATCTTCTTTTTTTCCCTCCTTTTGAAAGTCTCACCTGTGTATCTATACTAAAACAATTATTCACCTCAGGCTCAGTGAATATTGGGAATAATAAACTCAACTTTGTTTCGGTTATTATTCCCCGATATTCACTTCTCCTTCAGTGAATAATTGTTAAATATTATAGCTATGTAAAATACTATCCATAGATCTGTGAACTTTGTATTTTCAGTGGAGACTTGGAACAACATTTTAAAATATAAAATATTGCACCTATACCAATTATTGTTTCACATTTATATTACTGAATCAGAAAGTTTAGCTAGTATACCAGTTTGAAGTAACTTTATAATATTCCAGCGCTGATACTATTTCCAGTCACACCTGGTCTAATACCATTATAAAATGCCAGAAATCAGGATTATTTCATTCATTCCCAAGATCACTATTTTCTGTTGTGTAAGGTCCATGTTGTTTGTCAGTGGTCAATGGCCAGGAAGTGCATAAAGTCTTTCTTGTTCTGTTGTGGTGATCTGGTGGGTCTACCAAGATTTTTACGTCCCCCTTTATTACATTTGATTTCTAAAAGAACAGGTCCTTTCATGCTACGCACAGCTCGGACTTTTTCTGCAATGTCTTCAGGTTCACTTGCTTCCATAACCTGAGAAATAGTATTCATAAAACAGAAGTTAACTCCATACGCCTATGATACAAGGCGTGGCCATGCTATAGGGTGTTCCCTTCCTTCCTCCCCCCCCCNCCCCCCCCACCCCACCAAGCTGGAACACTAAATCTTTCATAAATGGCTCCATAACCTGAGTTACTCACAGACATGACACCATTGAAGGCGTGGCCATTCTATTGGGTGTTCCTCTCAACCCACAGGTGGAATTACCAAATATTTGTTAAATAGAGTGTCTACATTGGACTAAACCTTGATAATTTATTATAAAATAATTGGGATAGTACGCGTGCTACGATTGGTCGAAAACCATGTTTGATAAGAGTATCAAAACACGCTCGCGTCATTTTAGCGTACACGAGTATTGCAACTGTCAGATTTTAATCTATCACGCGTGCTCATTGGCCAGTTTGAACAAGATGGCAGGTAGGGAGAATTTACTTAAATTTGCTTTTTTTCGATCTTTTCGCGAGTTTGTTATTTTATAAAACAAATCAAAAACAGTTTTTTGTGTTTGATACTCTGATCAAAACACTTGGGATGTTGGGAGAACACTCAAGAAGCTGGAAACCACTCCGCTACGCGTCGTGGTTTCCTACGCTCCTCTCATGTTCTCCCAACATCCCGCATGTTTTGATCAGAGTATCAAACACGGAAAACTGTTTTTGATCTGTTAAATAAATATTCAAATTCTTCCACTAACAGGAGCCCCTATATTTTCTGGTTTAGTAATTTGATGACTAACTTCAGAAAGTGTAATTTTCTACCAGACACTGCAAATGCATTATGATGATGGCTTTAAATCACGAAGGGCAAGACATAAGACATTAATTTATATAAGTTATCTAGCATATGTCCCTGCCTCAGTTTCCCCAAACAAAACTACTACCTCCCCCCCCCCCCAAATAAAACTACTACAAACAGAACGACCTTGGTTAACTTTTAAAATGATAATAAGTCTGGACCACCTACCTCTCTATAGCCACAGGCTCTTGCAATACCCAAGAAACTAAAATTTGGATTAGCAGCATCTGTAGGTTGCCCTCCAACAGAATCATGACAGCCATTATTGACGATGATATGTTTCAAGTTTTCACATTCCTCACTGCCTACAGTAGACATGCCTCCGAGGTGCATGAGTGCTGCACCATCACCATCAAGACAAAATATCTGTCAGAAAGTGCACCAATACTTTAGTATTCAACATAACAAAAGGTTCCTTAATATCATTTCTATTAGTGACAATAATCTTGTCTGAAATACACCTCTTTACGTAGTCTCCTCTGCAGCCATCATTAGTTTCAGTCCTAGATCCTAACGCGCCCTCTGGGACCAAGATTAATGACAGCTGCAGAGGAGACTACTCTATACCTTAGTGCAAATTATGTTTTCCCATTTTGGTACATGATTTTCTAGAGTGTGATTTCTCGTTTAATGGTTGTGCATGAGAATCAACTCAAACATTCTTATTCTCAAAGAGAATAACGTGGTCTGAAATGCAAAGGTAGTATGCCCAACACAGAGGTCTATTGCCTCTAACCATCTCATTATGATTATACAGTGAGCTTTCCATCAAATCATTCCTGGTAGAGTCGGTTTTATTTTACCGATGTATAACTCCTTCGTGGGAGTTGAAGAATCTGCCGTGTACTTGATTCCATCGCGTAATAAAGTCAGGAAGTCCAAATACACAAGTTTTTCCTGAGCCGTTTAACTGGTCATATTTTCATGAAGTGAACCATGAATGGTTATTACTTACTTGTCGTTTAGGCTTGAACTTGGCAATACCAATAGCAATAGCAGAGGTATGTCCCATTGATCCTACTGTCAGGAAGTCTTTCTCATGGCCCTGCCCTTTTTGTATACGGTATTCAAATAACTCTCGCGATAACATGCCTGTTGTTCCAACAACGACATCTCTGTCATGTAGGTTGTCAATAATGACCTTAAGGACTCCTTCTCTGTTTAAGGGGTAGCTAGGAAGATAAATTGCAAACAATATATCAGTAAAGGAAATCTCACAATCTCAAGTACGTTTAGGAATTTATAGGTACGAGTGAAAGTTTTCAAAATTGTACAAGCCTTTAGGCAAGTCCAATTTGAGAATTTTCAAAACGTTATGAGTACTATAAATTCTGAATTGTACGAGAAGATTGTGTGATTTGTTGTCGATAATACACTCAACAAAATTGAGCTACTTAATTGAGACTCTACAGAGTACAATATTTGGGATTTAATTGTACTCCTCATGACAGCCATTATTGACTATGTGTTTCAATTTTTCACATTCCTCACTGCCTACAGTAGACATGCCTTCTCTTGTCCAATCAGAATCAAGTAATTTTGTTAAGTGTATTATAATGTAAGAAAATATAAAGATGAATGAATAAGAAACAAAAGAGAGAAGTGCTAATAATAATGGCTGGTTATCAGACAATATCTAGAGAGAATTTATTGTTATTTTTCTGGTCAAATCTTTGCCTCACTGGTCATTTTGACGAGTAATTGCATACCCTGTTTATGACAAGAAGCTCGAAAAACCATACCCTGTTCAGCGGATCATCCCCGTATAGTCCATATATGGGAGTACTCCCCCCCCCNCCCCCCCCCCCCCCCCCCCCACTCCCCTGGGCTCAACCTCAACCTCATGGAGCATTTCATCTCTGGTTTCTAGTAAATAGTGGTAGCGTTTTACTTGCTTACAGTTCTGGTACTTTGTCGAGCTTGTAGGGCAAAAAGTTCTGACGTCGCACCAAAAGACAATATGGACCTTTTGTTGTTTCCATGTGTTTACGGGCTGTGTATAGTGCCTGAAAAGAAATGATAAAATAACTGTTATAAATCCCTTTTTCTGATTGGTTGGGAGCATCTGCATTTTGAGAGCACACAGCACGCACAATTGCACTGTGTCCAAAATAATGGCTACTCTTATTTGTATTTCATAAAAGAAATAAAAACCTTGCTTGTTATACATGCTGACGGTGAAGTTATAAAATACTTGACAAAGCTAAATTTTAGGATAATTAAACAATCAATTGAACCTCTGAAGGCATGACACTGGGTGTCCTGACCCCCTGGATCTACCACTGAAATTTTAACATCTTAAAATCAAAGTATAAAAGGTCACTTGCATTATAGCATCATTTACTACCACTACCAGGCTCCCTTGCAGGCTTCCTTTTGTTCAGTTAATTTGTAAAGCATTTTGGTAGTAGTGGTATTGGGTATAGTATAATATAATGCCATCATGCAAATGGCCTGTTGGTTAATAATTATTAATGATTAATGGTTTACCTGCTCTGCACCTTCATGATAATCTGGCAACACTTGAAAGGGAATTCCACACGAGGCTGAAAAAGAAGATTACCTCGTTATAAATGAACCATTCAGGCAAACCTAAGGCAAACATYAACATAACAAACTGAAATTTGTTTTTTCGCTGCCGTCAATCAAACCTAATCAGTCGGTACCTTTAATATTTTTTGACTGGCAGCAGCGAAAAACCAAATTTCAGCATTTTTTAACAATTTTCATCCGAGTGCCCTTTAAAGAAAACCCACTGATTGCTCTAAACTTACCAAGAATTCCAGGTGTGGCCTGTCCTTGTACGACATGCTGGGGTTCATCTCTCTTTCCTGGTTCTCCTCGCCATCCAACCAATAAAAGCATAGGTATGCTATATACACCAGGTACGGCAAGGGACATTAGGGGGTTGACTATATTGCCCAGTCCAGAATTCTGTCAAAAAAGTAGGAGCTACTGTCATATAAACATTCAAATTCTCCCTAATGAAATGGCTGAAATAATGACCTGTTTTTTAAAATATGGCTTTTTATCATGTATTATGGAGTATTCATAATTATTAAGTGTACATTATTAGTATCAATGCCTCTATGGTTGGTTTGATTCCTAGCATTTTCAAATTACAAATTAGGAAACCTCTTTATCTCTTTTAATTCAAGAGTTTCAAGTTTCCCAATATTTTTCCTTAATAACTGACCTTATCAAAATCCCAATTTGACTTTGCAATATTGCACTATGGACAGGTTATTGGGAGTTAATGGTGCAAGGTGTACTGCGTTTGTATATTTGCTTCACTGACCTCTGAGGCATGAGATCTCAAGTTGGATTCTTAGGTAACTTTAGATCTGATGTCAAGATGATGTCTTGATGTCTGACAATCTTGATTCAAGGTAATTTTTTCTATGCATTCTTATAAAGTTTTCCTCGCTCAGCAAAACCCATTAAATTGTTAGGTTTCTATGTTTGATTTCTAAGTTAGCCATGACCAAATTAATTCCCCCATATCAAGAAATTGCTTCAGATAAAATTAATGTTGGTTGGTTTGAAAAATGACACATGGTGTTATAACAGATAAGCTTAAAATAGTTAGCTGTAAGAGGGTAAAAATTCTCATTTCCATAAAGGGTGCCCAAGCTAATCAATGTCAAAAGAGGAAAAGGGGTTACATCTATGGTTATATGATAAATATCTCACTCTATGATCATAATAAATGTAAGCCCTGTGCATCCTTGCCACAGAACCGTACTCTGATTTTCAATCATCTCTATGAAAAAGAGACAAATAATGAGAATTTGTTGTCAAAGTAATCCAAATGAATGAATATTTAGATATCTATAAAACACACACTGCTTCCTATAACCCTATTATTAGCAAATCAAGGTCCCTTTTGTATGGTCTGTACTCTTATCAAACATGGAATAGCATCAGTATATGATTCAAACTCAAGTGGAACCATAAGCTCAGCAACTAGTTTCACTGCAAAGTTTGAATTATATTCTGACGCCATTTCCTGTTCAATAACAGTACAGACCATATAAAAAGGACCTCTACTTGTTTTTTACCACAAAAATTTCACTTATTTTTTTGACGCTTTTATACTTTCAAATATGTTGTGTGACAGATGTCATCAGCACATGCCCATCTAGCCTATAATCCACAATGTCTCTCAGCTAATCAGTGTGTGAGAAATCAACAATTTGTGATAGAAAGCATAATTAACATGATCTCATACGTGGCTTTTGTGGTCTTTTGTTTAGATTTGTATACGATTAACAACAAATATTACAGAAGCAGGCCTGTTATTATTTCAACAGTTAATACCTATACTATCTAGTATACTAAATAAAGAAAATGAAATGCTTTCCTTCAAGTACCAAAATGGACATGAAACATTCTGATGCAGAGTGGGTGCAGAAGGGCGGCACAAGGGACATGAGACAGGACAGGGGTGGGGTAGGGTGTGGTGTATATGGGTGCACATAAAGAGTGATGGAGATTGAAATGACAATGAAAGAATGTTTTATACTGATTAGTGCATTATTCACTTGATAACAAATCACAGCCAATCACCCCTACTACTTGAACAAAGGTAGTGCCCTCCTAGTCAAAAAGCTTTTGCCACAAACACAAAACAATTGTCAAAAGGTGTGGAGCCCTAATAAACCTGGCTAAGAAGAGTTGGTATTGTTTTTGAGATTATTTCTAAGACCTCTGCAGGCCTCTGGTCCTTTAGCAATATTTTATGAGGTCATCACTTACCTGTAAGTAGACAACAGCAGCTTTCCCTGTGGCCATATGATAACCTGATGCTAGTGCAATAGCATTGCCCTCATTGGCTGTGATGACGTGATTCTGTTTGGGCGTCACTGTTGTTACATATGCACAAAAATCTTTCAGGAGTGAGTCTGGTACTCCACAGAAAAAGTCCATGTTGTGTGCTCTGATGGAATTGTAGAACTCTTTTGGATCCAAGAAGTCTCGCACCAGTTCTGTGAACTGTCCAGCATCTTCATTTCTCTTTTTTTGTTCTGATACCTGGAAAGGAACAAAAGAAATCTTTCCAGTAGGTTGCAGGGCACAAAACAAATTTTAAATCCATTAGCAAAACCTTTCTAGGAAGTTTTGTTTTCATTAGCAAAAATTTCAAAGTCACTAGTGATCGGACGCAATCAGTCCTTCAATTTCTAGACTGTCAGAAAACAATAAAAAAAAGCATCTAATTCTTCAGTTTTTTTTGTTTTTTTTCTGCTGAAGGGGGCTTCAGCCCCCTTTGCCCCCCTGGATTCACCCTTGAGACTTGGGCACAGTTTTTCTTTATCTGGACCTTCTAGCTGATAGGATAAATAACATCTATTTCACAGTTTATTTTGCCACAGCAAAATCAAATGCAGTTTAGGGAGCTTTCATAATTTATGGGCTAGGGAGAATATGGGGATTTTACATGTTAAAATAATATTTTGGGGTGTCCCCTTAAAAATTACATATTCTTAGTACCCCCACCCTCCACCCCACTAGAGAGGTTTTGTAAATATCATGTTCCCCCTTTCCTAATCTTTGAATTCTAAAAATATCTTTGATAGCCCCCTCATCGTTACCAGAGTAACATATCCCCATAGCCATGTCATGCAGTTCTATTACAGTTGATTTCATAAAACTTTGGCCATTCCTTGTCTGAGGCCCTGTCCACACTATGTCGGATAAATTTGAATCCGAATTTTTATTTATTCAGTTAGGCCTACCATCCACACAATTCTTCACCGAAAACGATTTTTTTCGAATATGGTCTACAGAGTGGAACGATTTGAAAACTCCGGCTAGCTGTATTAGTGGGATGGAGAACGTTTTGTACCCGAAATTTTTCGAATACAATGACGTCATGATTGTCATTAGAACATGGTAGGAAGGCTAAAAATTCACTGCGGGCTCAATTTCAACTTCGATGCACATGCTCAGACGTGCAATGAAAATGAAGCGTTGCTGCCTTAGATCGGACTAGTGTGGACGTCAAACATTTTATCCGTTTTCATGTGTTTTGGTTTCGGTGTGAAAGTTGCGGATTCAAATTTATCCGGCATAGTGTGGACGGGGCATGAAGTTCGTTCGCAAGTTCACAACTTTGTTATCAATTTCAAGTTCCGACGGTTGTCGACGATCTTTCAAACTGATAATACAGCTGCTTCTAAAACTCATCAAATCTACYGTTCAAATTCAATTTTCAAAGTAAATATTATTGCGACAAAAGGAATTTGACTCTGTACGTTGTCTGGAAAATATTTGAATTCTAGACATAAACAAGTAATGCACTTATCATTTACTTCCCCGTGGGTTGAGTTTTTTTTTGTTTTTTTCCCCTGGGAGGCGGGGCGTTGTTTAGCTTTGGGAATGGATTGGCTGAAACACAGGGACATACCCACGGGATTTGTTCGACATTTGGTCAACAGTTTTTTGCATTAGACTATGGTTTTTTCGAGCGATTTCGTGCCATTAAATTCCTGAGCTAGTAGAGGTAAAATAAAATCAGATTCGTCTTTTCTTCTTTTCTTCTCAATAATGCCATTACTTAAAGCATGGGATGTGTCGAGACTTAAAAGAAAGTCTTAAATGACAGAAAATTTTGGTGAATGAAAATATGTGTGACCCATGAGTGATTTAAGATGTTGCATTACATAAATCTCTGTACTATATGTTCCTTTCTTTAGCTTCTAACCAGATCAACAGTTGTTAACTCTATCGAACAGATGTTTTTGAAACAGTGAAAAGTACCTGTATGTCTATAAGTTTAAAAGTTCATTATCACTTATCCTTTTATTKTAACTAGTCGTTCATAACGCATCCTTACCAAATCAAACATAAACTCCTTATTTGCTGTTCATCAAAGATGTCCAGTGATTTAATATTCAAAGAAATTCAGGTTTAACCCAATTTTTACCACTTCCATGCCAGCTATGATTATAGTTAAATTAAATAAATACGGTTTTGGGTGTACATTTCGGCCCCCAGGGAAGGGCTATTCGTAATTAAGTTATGCCCTTTACCCAGTAGTCTCCCCCACAGCCGCTTTCAGTGTTGTCACGCAATGCTTTCTCCCCTGAGTAGCGGCTGCTTACCCGAGCACAACATTCCTTTCCTATTGTTTGTGTTCAACCAA